GCACTCTGCTGCAGGGGACTACCGCCTGCATACCCAAAGGATGACCTGTTCTGCATAGGCCTCATGAGCTCTGGCAAGACCAGTCTGCCGTCCAAGCTCTGCAGTGAAAGCCCTGACAGCCTAGTGTCCACTATGGGTTTTAAAAGCAGTGCCATTCCAGAATGCCATCTTGAATGTGAAAGAACCTGGAGAAGAGAGCAGCCAAGATGGCAGAGTAGAAAGACCATGAGCTCACCTCCTCTCACGAGAACACCAAAATCACACTATCTGCAGAACAACCATGGATGAAAAAGACTGGAACCTGCCAAAAAGTATCTTCTACAGCTAAAAACATAAAGAAGGAACCACAGTAAGATGGGTAGGAAGGGCAGACTTGTGATATAATCAAATCCCATTCCCCCAAGGTCAGTGACCCACAAAACAGAGAATAATTATAATGCACAGGTTCTCCCACAGGCATGAGAGCTCTGGGCCCCATGTCAGGCTCCCCAGCCCAGGGGCTCCAGCACCAGGAAGATGAGTCCCAAGAGCATTTGGCTTTGAAGGCAAGCAGGCTTAACTGCAGGAGCCCCACAGGGCTGGGAAAAATAGAGATTTCACTCTTGAAAGGGGCACACAAATGTGCACTGGGATTCAGCACAAAAGCAGTAATTTGATAGCAGCCAGGGCCAGACCTACTTTCTGGTCTTGAAGAGTCTCCCGGAGAGGCGGCTGCAGCTCACCCCGGGACACAAACACTGGTGGCTGACATATTTGGGAACATTTAACCATATGAACAAGCTGCCAGCAGCTGCCTTGTTCACTCATTAGCACCAACGCCTGGCCTCACCCAACAGCCTGTAGTGATGGACCGCCTCAGGCCAAACAACTAACTGGGCGGGGGATGCAACCCCCCCATCAGCAGACAGGATGCCTAAAGACTTCCTGAGCCCACAGCTGCCCGTAGACAACCCTCTAGACACAGCCCTGCCCGCCAGAGGGCCAAGACACAGCTCCACCCACTAATGGGCAGGCATGGCCTTTCCCTTTTCCTTTCCAGGAAGCCTGCCCTAGCCTCTGGACCAGATTTACCCACCAGGGAGCAGACACCAGAAAACTACAATCCTGAAGCCTGTGGACACAGGCCACCCACAGCAGTCCAGACCCTACCCTGGGACCAGCTGGGCCCTGGTCCTGTCCACTAGCAGGCGAATGGAAGCTTTGGGACACCCCAGACTCCATACTCAACTGTGTCAGGAACACCCCCCTACCCCCCAAACAACGACCTGAAATGAGCTCTGGACCTCAGGGCCTGCAGCCAGATTCCAGGAACCAGCTCTGCCTGCCAGTAGTCTAGCACTAACCTCAGATATGGCTCCACCTCCCAGGGGGTGGGCAACAGTCCCAGAGTCTTGGGGACCCTGATTCTACCCAGCAGAGCCAGTACTAGCCCTGGGGTTCCCTAGGGTTCTTCAACCAGCCACCTTGTGACCAGGTCCCACTAAACAGCAGCCAGCAGCATCCAAACAAGGTAGAGTGTGGCACCCAACCGGACTAGGGGGCAACTGAGCCTACCAGACCACCTACATAGTCAACCTGCCACAACAGAAGGACACACGCAGGCCTCTTAGGGGAAAACCCTAGAGCATATAGCTTGGGTGATGAAAGGGGAGTGCACTGCTGGGAGACATAGGATGTCTCCTACAGAAGGCCACTTCTCCAAGATTAAAAAACATAACAACCTGACACACACATATAAATACAAAAAGCAACTCAGAAAAATGAGGCAGCAGAAAAATATGTTCCAGATGCAGGGAATAAGATAAAACCCCAGAAAAATAACTAAGTGAAGTGGAGACAGACAATATAACTGAGAAAGAATTCAGAGTAATGATCATAAAGATGAAAAAACTCGGGAGAAGAACAGAGGCACAGAGAGAGAAGTTAGAAGTTTTTAACAAAAAGTTAGAAAACATAAAGAACAACCAGAGATGAAAAATACAATAACTAAAATGAAAAATACATTAGAAGAAAGCAACAGTAGACTAAATGATACACAGGAACGGATCAGTGAGCTGGAAGACAGAGTAGTGGAAATCACTGCTGCTTAACAAAAAAAAAAAAGAAAAGAAACGAGGACAGTTTAAGATACCTCTGCGACAACATCAAGTGCACTAGTATTCGCAGTATAGGTGTCCCAGAATGAGAAGAAAGAGAGAAAGGGCCTGAGAAAATATTTTAAGAGATAATAGCTGAAAATTTCCCTAACCTGGGAAAGGAAACAGTCACCCAAGTCCAAGTAGCACAGACTCCCATACAGGATTAACTCTAAGAAGAACATGCCAAGATACATTGTAAACAAAATGCCAAAAATTAAAGATAAAGAGAGAATAGGAAAAAAAAAAAAGAGACAGAGAGAATAGGGACTTCCTTGGTGGTCCAGTGGCTAAGACTCCATGCTCCCAATGCAGGGGGCCCAGGTTTGATCCTTGGTCAGGGAAATAGATCCCACATGCCACAACTAAGAGTTCTCATGCTGCAACTAAAGATCCTGCATGCCACAACTAAAGATTCCACACACGGCAACGAAGATCCCACATGCTGCAACTAAGACGTGATGCAGCCAAACAAATAAATAAATACATACTAAAAAAATATATATATAAAGAGAAAATATTAAAAGCAACGAGGGAAAAGCAACAAATAATATACAAAGAAATTCCCATATGGCTATCAGCTGATTTTTCAGCAGACACTCGGCAGGCCAGAAGGCATGATAAATTCAAAGTGATGAAAAAGAAAAACCTACAACTAAGAATACTCTACCCAGCAAGTCTCTCATTCGATTTGATGGAGAAATTAAAAGCTTTACAGAAAAGCAAAAGCAAAAGCTAAAAGAATTCAGCACCACCAGTTTTACAACAAATGTTAAAGGAACTTCTCTAGGCAAAAAGAAAAGGCCACAACTAGAAACAAGAAAACTATGAAATGAAATAGCTCACTGGGAAAGGCATACATACAGTAAAGATAGAAAATCATCCACACACAAAGCTAGTAGGGAGTTCAAAAGACAAAAGTAGTAGAAACATCCATATTCACAATAAACAGTTAAGGGATATATATATACAAAACAATTAGATGTAAAATACAGTATCAAAAACAGCATACGTGAAGGAAAGAGAGTACAAAGGCAGGGTTTTAAAATGGACTTGAGGAGGTCAACAACTTAAAACAATCATATATACATACATACACATATATATACACGCTGTTAGACAAAAACCTCACGGTAATCTCAAAACAAAAATCTACAATATACACACAAAAAAAGAAAAAGGAATCCACACATAACACTAAAGATAGTCATCAAGTCACGAGAGAACAAAAGAAGGGGGAACAAAAGACCTATAACAAATCCAAAACAGTTAACAAAATGGCAATAAGAGCATACATATCTATAATTACCTTAAATGTAAACGGACTAAACACTCCAAGCAAAAGACAGAGTGGCTGAATGGATACAAAAACAAGATGCATGTATATGCTGCCTACGAAAGACTCATTTCACATCTAGAGACACATAAAGAATGAAAGTGAGGGGATGAAAAAAGTATTCCATGCAAACGGAAATCAAAAGGAAGTCAGAGTAGCAATACTTATATCAGACAAAATAGACGTTAAAACTAAAACAGGGCTTCCCTGGTAGTGCAGTGGTTGAGAGTCTGCCTGCCGATACAGGGGACGCGGGTTCGTGCCCAGGTCCGGGAAGATCCCACATGCCGCCGAGTGGCTGGGCCCGTGAGCCATGGCCGCTGAGCCTGCACGTCCGGAGCCTGTGCTCCGCAACGGGAGAGGCCACAACAGTGAGAGGCCCGCATACCGCAAAAAAATAAAATAAAGTAAAATAAGGATGCGTTCTCTAAAAAAAAAAAAAAAAAAAAAAAAACTGGTTGTTTGAGAAGATAAACAAAATTGATAAACATTTACCCAGCCTCATCAAGAAAAAAAGGGCCTAAATCAATAAATTCAGAAATAAAAAAAGTTACCACTGGCACCACAGAAATAGAAAAGACCCTAAGAGACTACTACAAGCAATTTTACGTCAATAAAATGAAAACAATCCCATTTATCATCGCATCAAAAAGAATAAAATATCTAGGAATAAACCTACCTAAGGAGGCAAAAGACTTGTAATACCACAACTATAAAGACTCTGATGAAAGAAATTGAAGATGACACAAACAGATGGAAAGATATACCGTGTTCTTGTATTGGAAGAATCAATATTGTTAAAATGACCATACTGCCCAAGGCAAGGTACAGATTAAGTGCAATCCCTATGGAATTATCAATGGTATTTTTCACAGAAGTAGAACAAATAATTTTAAACTTTGTACGGCGATACAAAAGCCCCCAAATAGCCAAAACAATCTTGAGAAAAAAGAACGGAGTTAGAAGAGTCATGCTCCCTGGCTTCAGACTATACTACAAAGCTACAGTAATCAAAGCAGTACAGTCCTGGCACAAAAAGAGACAATAGATAAATGGAACAGGATAGAAAGCCCAGAAATAAACCCATGCACCTATGGTCAATTTATGACAAAGGAGGCATGAATACACAATGGAGAAAATATAGTGTATGTATGTACGTACACGTACACACACACACACACACACACACACACACACAGAAAGGAATACTATTCAGCCATAAAAAAGAATGAAATAATGCCATTTTCAGCAACATGAATGGACCTAGAGATTACCATACTAGGTGAAGTAAATCAGACAAAACAGACAAATATCATATGATATCACTTATATGTGGATTCTAAAAAAATGATACAAATGAACTTATTTACAAAACAGAAATAGACTCACAGACATAGAAAACAAACTTATGGTTACCAAAAGGAAAGGGGAGGGGGGAGGGATAAATTAGGAGTTTGGGATTAGCAGATATAAACTGATAAACAATATAAACAATGATATAGATAAACAGATAAACAATGAGGTCCTACCGTATCACACAGGGAACTGTATTCAACTGTATTCAATATTCAATTCAATATCCTGTAATAAATGGAAAAGAATATGTATATATATGTATATCTGAATCATTTTGCGGTACACCAGAAACTAACACGATGTTGTAAACCAACTATACTTCAATTTGAAAATAAAAGATATTGCAAGGATAGAGTCTCTTATTCCATTCTGCACCACGATTCTTATCTGTGTGATTCCTTATTGGCTTTCCAAAGTTTCTATGATAAACACACAGAAATAAAAACACATAAAAATAATTATACACAAAGAGTAAGTGGGATTTATTCCAGGTATGCAAAGTTAATTCAACATTCCTAAAGCAATTAATGTAATTTACAACATCAACAGGATAAAGAAGAAATCTCTTCTTTGCAGAAAAAGCATTTGACAAAATCCAACATCCACTCATGATAAAGAATTTCAGCAAACTAGGACTATAAGGGACCTTTTTAACTCGGTTAAAAAAAAAAAAACTAAAAAACTCTACAGCTAACATGATTTTTAATACTAAGAAACTAGATGCTTTCCTACTAAGATCAAGAAGAATGTAAGAATCACCACTGTTAGTCAACATCATACAGTAAGACAAGAAAAGAAAAGGTACACAGGAAGGAAAGAGTAAAAATGTCTCTGTTTGCAGATGGCATGACCGTGTATGTAGAAAATCCCAAAGAATCTACACACACAATAGGTACTATTGGAATCAATAAGGTATTGAAGCAAGGGTACAGGTTTTATATATATATATACATAGAGAGAGAGAGAGAGAGAGAGGGAGAGAGGGAGGGGGAGGGGGAGAGAGAGAGAGAGGTTAGTATTACCAATGTCAATTGCTTTCCTATGCCAGTAACGAACAACTGGAATTCGGAATTATAAATATAATACCATTTACATTAGTATCAAAAAAAAAAAAGCCCCACAAAAAATGTATGTATAAATCTAACAAAATATGTATAAGATCTATATGAGGTAACTATAAAACTATGGTGAAAGAAATCAAAGAGGATCTAAATAAATGGAGAGATATTCCATGTATATGGATAGGAACACTCAATAGTGTTAAGATGTCAGTTCTTCCAATCCTGACTTACAGATTCAATGCAATCCCAATCAAAATTATAGTAAGTTATTTTAAAGTTTACATGAAAAGGCAGAAGACAGAACAGCCAATACAATACTGAACAGGAACAAAGCTGGAGGTCAGAAACTACCCCGCTTCAAGACTTACTATTAAGATAACAGATAATAATACAGTGTGGTAATGGGGAAAGAACAGAAAAACAAATCAATGGAACAGAGTAGAGAGCTCAGATATAGATCCACATAAATACAGTCAACTAATTTGTGACAAAGAAGCAAAAGCAATTCAAAAGAGAAAGAAGTCTTTCTCCGCTTCTCAACAAATGGTGTGGGAACAACTAGACACCGGCAGGCAAAAAAAATGAGTTGACATACACCTTATACTTTTCATGCAAAATGGATCAGAGACCTATACGTAAAACACAAAACTATAAGACTTCTAAAAAGGAACATAGGAAAAATGTAGGTGCCCTTGGGTTTGGCAATGAATTTTTGGATACAACACCAAAAGTATGAACCATGAAAGAAAATGTGATAAAATGGACTTTATTTAAAGTAAAATTCTCTGTTCTGCAAAAGACACCATTAAGAGAATGAAGACAAGCCACAAACTGAGAAAAAATATTTGCAAAACACATATCTGATAAAAGATTGGTATCCAAAATATACGAAGGACTCTTAAAACTCAACTATAAGAAAATAAGCAATCCAGCTTAAAAATGTACAAAAGATCTGGACACGAAACTCAACAAATAAGACATACAGATTGCAAATGAGCATAAGAAAAGATGTTCAGGGGCCTCCCTGGTGGCGCAGTGGTTGAGAGTCCGCCTGCCGATGCAGGGGACACGGGTTCGTGCCCCGGTCTGGGAAGATCCCACATGCTGAGGAGCGGCTGGGCCCGTGAGCCATGGCCGCTGAGCCTGTGCTCCCCAACGGGAGAGGCCACAACAGTGAGAGGCCCGTGTACCACATACACACAGAAAAGTTCAATACCATGTATCACTAGGGAATTGCACATTAAAACAACAATCTATAACCATTAGAATGGCTAAATCCAAAACAATGACAAGACCAGTGCTGATGAGGACATGGAGTAATTACAACTCTGATTTATTGCTGACTGGAGTGCAAAATGGTAAGTATACGGACTTTGGTAGACAGGTGAGCAGTTTCTTACAAAACTAAATGTACTCTTACACATAATCCAGCAATCATGCACCTTGGTATTTACCCAAGTGAACTGAAGACTTACGTCCACACAAAGACCTGCACCTGAATGTTTATGACAACTTCATTCATAATTGCCAAAACTTCGAAGCAACCAAGGTGCCCTTCAGTAGGTATATGGATAAACAAACTGTGATACATCCATAAGATGAAATATTCAGCGCTAAAAATAAATGAGCTATCAAGCCATGAAGAGAAATGGAGGAAACTTACAGGCATATTGCTAAGGGAAAAAGCAAATCTGAAAAGGGCACACACTGTATGATTCTAACCATACGACAATTTGGAAAAAGCAAAACTATGGAGATAATGAAAAATCAGTGGTTGCCAAGAGTTCAAGGCATGCATGGGAGCATAGAGCATAGGGGACTTTGGAGCAGTTAAACTATTCTGTATGATGCTGTCATTGTGGATATATGTCATTATACATTTGTCAAAACCCATAATGTTCAATTCAAAGAGTGAACCTTAATGTAAACTATACACTTTGATTAAAATAATGCATCAATACTGGTTCATCAATTGCAACAAATGTACCACACTAAGGCAAAATGTTAATAAGGGAAACTAGGTTAATAGTAAGAGGAACTGGGTGAGTGTGGATATATAGCAATTCATTGTACTATACATTCAATTTTTCTGGAAAACAAACAAATGGAAAAAACCCCACATCCATTAAAAAATTTCAAAGAAAAAAAAAAGGCACAATCAAAGGCACAATTTGTGAAAACACCAGGTAGGAATACAAGCTTATAGAAGATTTGTGAAAATGAAATGTAAGCACAAAAGATAATCAGTTCAAGTCAGTAAGACAGACAATCTATAAAATGAAGTAAAAAAATAAAATGTATGGGCAAAATCTGCTTTAGCAGATTGTGACCCTACAGAAATATTTGTAAAACAATGGACGGTAATTCAAGGGGAATGTTAGCTACTTTAAAACTACTTTAAAATTAATTCATCTGTTTGTTGTTGTTTTTAAAGAAATCAGATGCTTGAAGAACATTTATATAGGGAATGAGAAAATTTTTTATATTTTATTTTCTCTTGTCAACACTGATAATGGCATTATTCAGGAATATAGCTCACAGAGGCTGGCAGATATCTGCAATATAAAGCAAATAAGCATCATATTATTTTATATAAGTACTTAATACATTGGAAAGATGCTAGCTACATGTTATTTCTTTTAAAAGAATACAACAAAATTTTATGATCCAGCTTTGTTAATAAATGTACAGAAACATAGGTAAAAAACACTAAAATTACATATATCAACACCTTAACAGATTTATAGGTGTAGGGATTATAGGTAATTTTCTTTTTTTCTGATCATTTTTAAACTGAATGTATATTACTTTTTGATAACTTACAAAATAATTATCTTGTGTATTTAAATTAAATAATGTATCTTATAATTTGAGTGTACAGAATAATCAGTGCTGTGACAGTAAAATACTTTTAAAATGTATGTCACATATATAAAACTTATTTCAACATAAAATTTTAAATACATTAGGCCCATGAGACATTGCATCAGAGTGGTGCTATAACACAACTGGACATGATACAAACCACCCAACTTTTAGAGAAAATATTTTTGGTATTTACTCATTATAAAGTAAGTTGACCCAGACATATACCGGACTAGAAATGATTGTGTTGAGAACAATATAAGTTGACATTTCTGGGTCATCTACATAAAAATATGTATATTTTTTAAATTGCAGAAAGATGAAAGCCCTAAGGAAATGTGAAAATGTGCATATGTGTGCCAAAAGAAAAGCGAACACACTTAGAATTTTAATCTTGCCAAGTCTGACTTCAACCTTTCAGTCAAAATGTCATACTAAATTTCAATTCCAATATTAATCAGGGAAGCAGTATAAAATATAAAAGACTAAGATTTTGTTGTGTTTTTATGGAGGTGAGGAGGGAGACAGAGAAGAATGTGAGATTAAGGAGAAAAAAATTAGGAAAAACTAACAACCCCAACAAATGCTTGCTTGAAAATAAGCATTTAAGGCAGATTGGGACTGAAAAGGGGGAAACAAATTGAAATAAAAGGATGGGGAACAACTGTCTGTTCCATACTTCATCTACCTCCTAGTTTATAATGGTCAACTCACATTTTATTTTCCCATTAAAGCATTAGTAAAATATACAAAGCTATCCAGGCTCATCAGCCAATTCTGTTCAAATAAGATGAACACAGAACATCAAGGTCACTTAATAACCAGTATTTTAATTTCGGCTAGAATTCATTGACAAAGCCATCTCCAAAAGACCTGCAGTGCTAAAATGGTTAAAATTAAACAGAACCTCTATTCCACTCCATCAGAACACAAAGCGGGTCTATAATGAATCCCCAATTCCCTCTGTTATATATTTGCATGCCACAGCTACAAACGAAGACGGATACAGGCGTGCCCTACCAGCAGCTCAGATACCATAAGGGCGTTGCCAAAACGATGAACAGCTCTTGGTAAAGTTCCCAACAAAACAAAGTACTACTTTCCCTCAAATTACTCAGTAATTGCATTTGTGGAAAATTTCAATGTACGTTAAAACCCTGCAAAAATACTATGTGTTTATTTAAAAAATGGAGTACTAGGCTCAAATCATAATGTTCTTTTTTTTTTTAACCCATGTAAACATCCTGGGAGACGTGGGAAAGGCACGTGGGGGCACAGAGCCATTCTTCCTCATGCTGGACCACCCCAAGCACTGCAGGCAGTCTATCCTGGCCCCTGCCCTCTCTGGGACTGGCTGCCGTCCTTGGGACCAGAAATGCCCCACAAACACCCCGTAGGAGGCCGTCCCACCTCCACTAGAAACCACAGACCTAAGGTGAATAAAGGATTGTTTGAGGAACATTTTAGATTTTAACAGCAGAAACACATTCCCCAAAACAGAATTAGTAGACTATTATGTGTTCATTCCTAAACCATTCAACGCAAAAATATTTTCAATTTCTTTAAACAATTTGTGGCCAATTTGTGGTTAAAAATAACACAACCCCACAAAGATATATTCAGATACACAGTCCTCTGCTGATGTTTTGTGACTATAGTTTCACTACAAAGAAAGCATTTCAAATAATAGCTAAAGACTTGTCATATGGAAATAATATTTGCTTATTCCTGCCTAGGGCAGGAATATCTATCTATCTATATATAAATAAATAAAAATAAATAAATATATATAAATATAAAAATAAATATATATATATATAAAGAGAGAGAGAGAGGGAGAGGGAGAGGGAGAGGGAGAGAGAGAGAGAGAGAGGGAGAGAGAGAATGTTGAGATTCCTGAGCTCTGCTTTCACCTGGTTCTCAGAGCACTGGAAATCAGGCTTATACCCTGGAGCAGGATTTCTCATGATAGGCAGTACTGACATTTTGAACTGTGTAACTGTTGTGGGTGGCTGCCCTGTGCATCGTAGGATTTTCAACAGCACCTGCAGCATCTACCCACCTGTTTTCAGTAGGAACCCATTCTTAATAATCAAATGTGTCTCTTAGGCATTGCCAAATGACCCCTGGGGAGATCTTATTGCCACAGCTGAGAACCACTGACTTATAGGCAGAAGACTGGAAAATCCTTCTTGTTGGACTCTTACTGGCCCAAGAGAAAAAGCTTCCAAATACCTAAAGAAATTGATATCAGGGTTTTCCCCCCGAAATATGTCCCAGCCAAATCTTTCCACAGTGAGAACCATCAATAGCTAGCAAAACCTAGCTAAGTTAAGAGAGACATGAAATAGGTTTCCAATGCCCCTTACATAAATTTGAACACAGAATCAAGGATCACAACAGAGCTGAGGAAAGCCTCTAAAATGAGACTAAAATATACCAACAGAAAGAATAACTTAGAAAACACAGAGCACGCAGGGAGAAATAAACCTCAAAACAAAACTTTAAATCCATAAAGAGAAAAAAAATACCAGAATGCTTTGGAAAAAAATACAAAGATCAAAAAAAGGTATTCAAAATTAAAAATATGATAAGAGAAACGGAAGTTTCAAGGCTTGAAAAATCAAGTAAATTTCCCAGAAAGTGAAAAGCAAAACACTGGAAAAAGATGAAAAATGGAAGAAAAGAAACAGGTCCAGGAGTACAATATCTAATTGCAGTTACAAAAAACACAGAGGCAAGGAAATTACAGAAAATGTATCAGAAACTTTCTCAGAGCTCAGGCATACAGGTTGTCAGACTGAAAGAATACATGAAATGCACAGCAAAGTAGATTTCTATAGACTCATAAGTCACCTCACATTACTGTGATGTTTCAGAACACTGAGCAAAACAAAGAGAAGATTCTATAAATTTCAGACAAAAAGGTTGTAGATGCTTCCATAGGGGAGAAGTAAAGTGCAGTGTTAAAAGTAAGAATGGCTTCAAACTTTATATCAAACACTACGAGTTCCTTCTCAAATCTGAAGAGAAACATTACCAATTTAGAATTCTACATCCAGTCAAACTAACAGGGTACAGGTAAAGACATTTACAGGAATATAATGCCTCACAACATTTGCCTCTAAAATAACCAATAAATTTTTGAAAAAAATGCTCAACCCCATTAATAACCAGGATCTGCAAATTAAAACAATAACCTAAAGCTACCTTCATCAGGTCGGCAAAAACAAAAAATATCAATTGTTATGAAAACTGTAGAAAAAAGGATTTATCATACATTGTTGGTGGGAGTCTAAATTTATATATTCGCTTTGGAAAGTTTGGCATAATCCACACTCTACAGAAATGCATGCTATGTACATGAAATGCATGTGTAAGAAAATTCACAGAAGCATTATTTCTAAGCACTAAAAACTGGACACAATCCAAATGTCCACAATACTACACTAGTTAAATTAATTGTGGTTTATTCATAAAAAGACTTACTACACTTACTATACTATAAACATTACTATACAACAATGAAAATATGTGAATTAAAGCTGTTAACAGGATTAAAAATTTCAACATGCGAGAAAAACTATACATAACATAATTCAATTACATACAGGTAAAAAACAGGCAAAATTAATGTATATTGTTTAGGAATGCTGACAAAGGTGGGTAAAAAATACTTGAAATAAAAGTAGGAAATCATTACCATAAAAATCCAGACAATCCCAATTAACCTTTGGGTGTGGTGAGGAGAGAGGAATGAATAAGAATGAATGGGGGGTGGGGAGAGGGTGCCAGCAATGTTCTAATTCTTCACTTTGGTGGTGATTACAGTGTTCACTTTATAATTATTCATTATACTGTACATCTACGATTTGTGCATTTTTGCACATTTTGTTCACTTTATTTCTATTCATTATACTGCATATCTATGATCTGTACACTTTTTTGCACATTTAGTATTTTGCCATAAAAAAGATTTAAAAATTGTTATCTAAGGCACTTTTATGGCTCTGCTATAATTTTTTTCTGTTCTAAAGTGGCAAACATTTGGTTCCAATATAGACAAAACATTAAGGCACAGGAGTCTAGTTTTTATTCCATTTGACAACATTACTGCACACACTGAAAGTGGTAAAAGCACTAGTCAATGATGCATAAATAGAATCCACTGTCAAAACACACAAGAGAAATAAGTAGGAACTTTAACTGAGTACCCTAAAGGAACCACCAGAATTAAATAATATCAACACAATAAACATGAGGAATTTCAGATTCTCGGTCTTAAAAGAAACTATATATGGGTCATAATCTTTCAAAGCACCTTTACAATGGAAGATAATTGAAAGACTAGAATGGTTTTAGTTATGATTATATGGACTGAATGTGAAAAAGAAACGGTGCTACTTTACTAAAAAAAATCTTTATTAATGAAAATCCATGAATCCTTTCTTAAATATTCTTAATTAACATGAGGGAAACTATTTCCAGCAAAAATAGTAGCATCTAGTTGAGAAACCAAAGGCTCTAAATCCGAGGCTAATAACCAAAGACACTTAAAATACCTTTTTTAAAAATCTGTTATCTACACTACAGAAAGGGCAAACTTCGATGATGTCCCTTCTCTCTCAACCATGACACACACTATCAAGGGTTACACAATCTCACATGCCCTTCTGAGAACAGCCACAGGCGTTGTGTTGCTGCAGCAAGGCAAGACAAGGAGGGAAGTTCCACTGAAGAACTCCCAGCTTGCTCCCTCCCCAAAGCCTCTCCAGAATTCCAGGGAGGTCAGCCAAGTAAGGGCTGCTTGTCCTCACACCCCATATAAACACTGCGTCTAATGCCAGAAGTTGTCAAAATTCACACAGCTTGTCTCTCTCCCTGGACAGGTGCCCCGCTCTGGGCTAAAGAAGCAGTCACCAGAGTCATCTAATGAGGCTCCTGAGATCCCATTCCTCTCTTACACCTGGACCATCACATTCCTCACCATCCCCGGGGTGTAGTCACCACCTGCCACAGATCTACTCTCATCAGGACGCCAGACGCTCGTCAAGCATTCGTCGCCGGCTGGCTCACAGGGAAGCCACAAGACGGAAGGAGCCCGCCTAGTTTCTGGCCTGCCAGGCCTAGACAAGCCTGCCCCCCTTCCCGCATTCCCAGTCTCCACACCCTTCCGTCCTCCCCTTTTCGATTCGCCTTTCGCCACTGGCGCCCACGGCTTTCGCTCTGAGACCTGCCTACGCCATGTTACCTCTCACGGAAAAGCCTGCCCTTATCAGGGCACAGCAGGATTCTGGAGAAGGCAGGAATGCCTCCACTTGCTCCTCTCGCCGCGTTCCCTATTCCGCTTCACCTGCTGCTGCCAACGTTACACCAAGACTCCCGGCATGCCCTGCGCAGGCACCGCCTCTCCCATCCCGCCCCCCTCCCGCACAAACACGTGACCTCCTTTCGCCTCCGTCCACGCCCACTTCCGTTTCTCCACTTTCCCTTAGGGGTGGGGGAGGGGACTGGGGGGTGTTAAAGAGTAGCGACTTCCTCCCACTCCCCGCCCCCGCCTCTCTACCCGCCCCCCACCCCGCTACAATGTCTTCCGGGTCGCGATCGCCTCGGAGCCTTCTGGGAAACCATCTCATTTCCTCCCCTCCCCCTCCTCCTGCCTTCAACCAACCAGCCTCCCGTCAGAGAGAGACATGCGCAGTGAGTGCCTCCCGTCTCTTCTACCCGAACCCCCCCTCCCCCCCCCAAGCAGAGAGACCCCAGCAGCAGCAGCAGCTGATGATGAAGAGAGAGGCAGTGGCAGAGGGGGGGCATCTTTTATTTCTATTTTTAAAGGGACAGGACACTAATTTTACCCCACTTCAACCTTGAATTGAGGGGGGTGGGGGGAAGGCGGCTGAGTTCCTTCCCCCACCCTCCAGCCCTGAGACCTGAGAGGGGGATTGAGCCTGAGAGAGAAGGAGAAGGAGTTTCTTCTTCTTCAAAAATCCCCCATCCACGACTCCTACCCCCTCACCCCTCCACTAGCCTCCCTCCCGAGCCCCCTCCATCCTCCTCCTCTTTGGCCGTGAAAGGAGAGAAAGAGACCAAAAGCCTCTTAGCAACACAGACCCTTCTCTGCTGCTGCTGCTGCTGCTACTGCTGCTGCTGCTGCTGCTGCTGCTGCTGCTGCTGCTACTGCTGCTGCTGCTTGGCCCTGGCTGGAGACATCTCACTACACCCGGGAGCAGCCACTTCCCCAGCTCTCCTCCTCCTTCGCCTCCTCCTCCTCCTCCACTCCCCCCCCTTTATTACCCTTTGTGTCATCCTCCACAGCTCCAGGGAAGGCACTCAAAAGTGGGGGGCAGGAAAGGTAAGTGTGTCTGTGGGGGCTTCATTGCCTTCCTCTGGCTCTGACTTTAACTCCGGGGCAACAGTAGCACCAAACCACATACGCAGTGGAGCTCCGGGGTGAGGAGGGGGTGGTGCTGGGGGGGCAGTGAAGGAGGGGTTGGAGTGGGGAGGGGTGTGTGAGGTGGGTGCCCATCCTGTCAGAGTAGGAAGGGCACTTTTTATTTTTATTTGCTGTTGTCAAAAGTGGTTTCTCTCCTCTAGCTAACATCTGATTGTGTCTTGCTCCAGTGGGGGAGAATACAAAAACAACCCCCTCCTTCCTCCAATGAGGCGCCAGGGAAAGAGACAGAAAGAGGCACACTTTCTAGATGTCACTTTAAAAAAAGCATTTGGAGAGCTTTTTTCCTTTTTCCCTAGGAAAAGCTCCACTGCATTTGTTTCTGAGTGGGAAAATGTCGGGATCTGGATTGTATCGGAACTGCTTATCCATTTGTAGACCTGAGTGTTTTACCCGTTTTGGTTCTGTGTGATTTGGATATTGACTTCAGTGTTGGAACAGACTTGATTGGTTTTTGCTTTCTGGGTTTAATTTTCCTTTTTTTCGTTTTGTCTGACTTGCATAGAAAATTTCAAATTTTTGGTTGATAGAGGCCTTTGGTTAGGTTTTGACTTGTATTATTGCTTTTTTTGTTAAGTGTTTGTTTCATATATCAGCATATAAAGTTCAAAGCTTAAAATGCTTTAAGTTTTAATACCACTGGTATTGTTTCTCCCTATATACGTTCCTGGTATTTATTTTACATAAGATGAAAATATTACCTGTTTCATAATTAATCTGGGTATTTTTCTAATCTTTGTAACTTGTCTGAACAAGTAATCCCCATTGAAAACTTTTATGTTGTTCTGGCTTCATAGAAGGCCAAACCTCTCCATCAATAGTTTGCTGGATTGGTACCACTTTCAGTTTTAACTGAATTATTTATTTACTGTTGTAAATTGAGATGAGTTTTTCATCTCTTGGGGGTACTGAACCAAACTGCTCACTATATGTGAAAGGAGACAAATTTCTAAAATATGTTTTCATGAGTCAAAGAAATCATGATGTTGTAGTTAGAATATGCATTGTAGTGAGATATTAATTGAAAGATAAATCTAAATTTAGTTTTATAGAGTAACAGCCTTGATAAAAGTATTCTTCATTTTTACTTGGTATGTTCTTAGTGAATGGTTTTCAAATTCAGTACTGTATTTGATTTCAGAAATGCTAGAAAGTATATTTCTGATGTAGGCCTTTTACTAGGGCTTACATTGCAAAGTGGAATTTTGTTTCATATGTACATTTCTTTATCCTTTCCTTAAAGATGGATGCACACATTCACACACACACATTCCCTCTCACTCTCTCTCTCTCTCTCTCTCTCTCTCTCTCTCACACACACACACACACACACACACACACCCTATTTTGAAACTGCATTGGTATCTCTGATCCCATAATTTATGTCAGCAAAAAATATTCTGCTGTAAAGTAGCAATTTTGTGATCAGACTGGCAATGTGAAAACAGCAATTTGATCAACTAGAAAGGATTGAAGAAAAATAAATCTAGAAGGATATTTGACATAAATATTAGAAAGACATGATAATACTTTTAATTTTTTGTTTTCTTGATGGTAAAGCCAAAACACAATATACTTACATTTTACTGACAGAAGAGCATTGCATATGTAGAAACTTGTTCTGTAAAATTTTAATTACCAACTGTGTGCAAAAGTAGACATTTACACACGGGGGGAAAAAAACTGTGTAGCAGTAAACAACATGGTCCTATTTCCCTCCTTTCTGTTATAAATTTGAACAATTACTTACCTTCCTCTGAGGTGTAATTGGTGCACTTAAGCAGAAATCTGTGCCAAGTTCAAGTTTGTCTCCCAATAATACTATTCCAGGTCCACGTAGGATTTCTTGTCCCCACCTTAATACCTCAGGAACCTTAACATAAAAGATGGAAAGTAGAACTTAGTGAAGAAATCACTTAAGTAAAGCGAACTGTGTAGGTAACTGGGGTGGTAATTTCCTAGTAGGCAGCTGAGTGAAAATTTACAGCTTGATTATAATACCTTTACTTCCTTTCTGTTTTCCTTTGAAAACATTTCTTATCCACCACCCCCCAGGGTAACCCTATATGGTGTGAAGATTCCAGACCTCCTCTAAGTTGGATAATGACTTACCTTTAGGAGTCTGTTTATTTTCATTATGGCTTATTTTTTAAGTATTAAGATATATTTTAGAATTGTAATTTTCACCTTGGTGATATATTGGAGATCACTTTATCCAACTCTTCATTTTCCATATTGCTGAAGTTCAGAGAGTTTGAGGAACTTGTGCATAGTTCCAAGGTCTGTAAGTGGATACACATGGACCAGAGAACTCTGGTCTCTTGACATTCACTGTGCTACACTACCTCATATTCTTTTGTCAGGAATGAAACTTGTGCACAGTTCTGTGTATGGCACTTAAGGGTTTTATATGGGGGCCTATACTAAGAATATTAAGGCAAATAGCTCTAAAGCCATAATTTTGTCCATTTATAATTCAGTAATTTGTTGTTGATTTTTTAGGAGATACTGATTTCCCTCATCTTGGATTATTACTATTTTGAGAATTATTTCAGCTTTCCCTAATGCTTATTTTTCCCCCGCACTTCCAATTAATCAATGAATACCCTTCTTACTCTTGTATTAAAGATTTATATAGATATAGATATATATAAAGAATGCGTATTGTATTATAAATGTTTACTTGTGATTCATGCTTTATGAACTGCTTAAGTAAGACTAAAGATTTTTTTCTTGTTAATATTTATATACCTTACAGCACAGTGTCCGGTACACAGTAGGCCCTACTGCTTGTTTGTCATAATTGTTATTAGAGTTAGGCATATTTGAATTTCTTGACTCTCAGATGTAGAATTTCTTCCTTTTCTTCCATTTTCCTTTCCTTCCTGCTACAATTTATTCACTACCACGAATATTTTTTTTCTTTATCTTAAGTGTGGTTCTCACTTTTTCTAATAGCCAATTTAAATCCTGTTAACAAATAGTACTCATAAAAAGTGAAAACATATTCTGTACAGGATGCAATTTGACAAAAGTGATTTATTTTAAATAAGAGATGATTAAAAAAACTCCAATTAAGAACGTACTAGCAAATGTTCAGGATACATTTAAATTTTATTTCATTGAGTAACTGGTACAATAGGTTACTGGAATGATTAGGCTGCTTTTACTATCTCTATAAGGCAACTGATACTTAGGTGACATGTTTCCCTGACTTTGCTTTTTCGGTCCTTACCCAGACAATTATCAACTTTCCAGTTTTCTATGGATATGAACATTTATTGCTAGTCATCAGTGGGACCCCAGGAGGTCAGCCAGAAGGCCTATGTCCAGCTTATGTACTTTTGCAAACTTGTCTGTATTTTGAATGTATGTGCAAAACAGATTGTACTTAATTATTCATTAAACATTTTTTGAGCATCTACTGTATGTCAGGCACTCTGCTAGGCATCTGAGAAACAATGCCTACAAGTCCCTACAATTTAATGTGAAGACATACCTTAATTGTATTCCACAGGCGAATTGGTCATACCTTTATTTGATGTCTCTGCCTAAATAAATTTTATTAACTAAATGGATACTGTTAGGTGGAAAAATGCATGTTTAAAAAGTTTTCATCAGTAAATTTAAAAGTATACTAGAGAGAAAGAGATTTCCTGAATTTCCTTTGCTCTTATATACCTCTTAGAATAATATTGATTCACAATTTTTAAAAAGGAGGGGATCCCCTGCTGGTACATTATCTTGTGAAGGTATATAGACTTCTGAGGGTCAGTCAATTCTGATCTCTGTTACATTCATTCTTAACTTTCTATATTAGTAATAATTATACTTACCGATTATTATGAGTGCCTAGCACTGTGATAAATATTATCAATCTCAGTCAGCCCTTACAGTGATCCTGTTAACTTTGTAACATTGTCCCCATGTT